TTTCGCCGGGCTCACTGTCATGATAGCCTCAACGCACCCGTCGGGGTGATGCATGGCTGTGGCCAAGTGGTGGGCGTCATTTTCTTCGTGGTCCACGGAAAGGCCACTAACCACCTGCGTCTCCATATCCATCTTCGTCGCGTCGTCATCGATATCACCTTCACCTGGTCTGGCGTACACCAGACCGAATGAATTAGACGTCTCCCCACAGACATCCTCGTCTCCGACATCCACCCTTTCCTCGTCTGTAATACAGAGTCCTCCTTCTTCACCGTCTTCCCCGTCGCGCAATGTAATCCACTCCTTCTCTCGCCCTTTGTCTCCTTTTTCCCCCTCCTCCCATTCTCCCTCTTCTTCCCCGCCCTCGACTTGCACCCATTCTTCCCCGCCGTCAGTCTTACGCGACTCGGCTCCTTGCAGCCGCATCAAGGCGTATCCCAAGGAGCGGTCGTCTGTATGAGCAGACGTACCACCTTCCTTCGTCCTTGCCTCCTCCGACTGCAGGCACGTCATGGACGAGGTACGGATACCGGCGGACTTCGTTGCAAGGAAGGCGGAGGGCGCTGCACCAACAATCTCTCTCTGTGACTCCGCAGATCGGCCTTGTCCAAGGGCCGACAGCATCGCCTCCCGCATAGCCAGGGCGGCGCCCATCTCCGACGCCTGTGCTCTTGTAGAGCTCCACTGGACCAGTGCACTCGCCTGAACGTCGTCCGCCTTGGTAGGGATGCCAGCGGACTTGCCCTTCACGGCGCAGACAGGATCCCCTGCACATGAGCCCCGCCCCACTTCACCGGAGGACCCGAAAGCAGTCCACGAGGGACGGGCCGCCTGCTCCAGAATCGTTGAAGTGCGGATGCCGGCCCACTTCGCTGCCTCCACGGGCACAGGGTCCTCCGTGTGCGAAGTTCGGATGCGGGCGAACTTCCCCGAATTGCCGCTCCCTGCTCTTGGGGAGTGTGTGACGTTCACCCCCCTTTCCCCCACGCCGCTGTGCGCGATCCTGCCCTGACCGACAGGGGCAGGCGATGATGCCGGCGCGCTTCCCCCTGATGTCGTATGGCCACTGCCTCCGCCACCTCCTTCCTCGTGGCCACTGCCTCCCCCCCTCCGGCCCGGGGGGGGCTCGGAGGTCCTCCTCCCACACTACCCTGGGTCCCTGTCGACGGGGGTACTTTCCAGTTCACCTTTTTCTTCGAAGGGCTCGTCTCAAGGTCGTCGAAATCGTCAGATAGTTCCAACCACTGCTTGTCATGAAGTTCCCGGAACAAGCGATCAGCAGTGGCAATTATGGCCGGGTCGGCGGGCTGCAGGTTGCTGTTCTCTAACGTCACTTTGTCCACCACAGCACTCCTCTCGGTATCCAAGTAGTCGGACTTGGCCAGGCGCTCGGACGGCTTCCATTCCCCGTCAGTGTCGACTATGGCCATGACCCACTCCCCCTTCCGAATTGGGGGCTGGATCGTCCCCGGGTGCCAAATCATGACATGACCCCAGTCTGCCTCCGTGGAACGCGTGTGGTCGTGCCCTTTGAAGTGGATGTTCTCATCCTTCCGAGAAGGATGTTGCAGGGGGACTTGACACCATGGACGCAAAGGAGGAGGCGCAGCAGGCCGAGGTGTCAATCTCGCTAACAGCTTACTAGGGGTCCTCCGCACGGGCGTCGCTTGTGCAGGCTGGTTTGTTGAGGGACTCGCCGACGAGGAGGCCGGGGATGGGAGCACCGGAGCAAGGCGGTAGTCGATGTCAATTTCCTCGGTGTCGCTATCCTCCTCAGGTGCACCGGTGTCGAAGACAACACCGGTGAGGGACTCTACGTCGACGTCGATCAAGGCACCGTAACTCTCAAGCCTCAAGACCGGCTCGGATTCGACAAAGTACAATAACTCCAGTCGGTCCAAGAAGTTCTTCGCGTTCAGGCGCGTGGCGCCGTAATAGTTGTCTAGCAGCGCCAGCATGTGTTCCTTGCGGCGCATGTACTCGATGTCGGTGCCCCTCGCAGGACGCTTCTCCAAGAAGAGGAACTCGTAGATCCTGCTCCTTTTCCGGGCCCTTAGCTTGAACCACATGTTTGTCGAAGGATCCCAAACGCGTCTCGGCTTCTCAGTCTTCGTAATGAACTCGCAGCGGTATGCTCCCGAGTTGACCGCGGTTTTCAGGAAATCCAGCGTGAATTGCAACCACTTCGAATTCCCCTCCAACGCGATGACGTTGCGACCACCCTTCAAAACGTCTCACACGACTTGTGCATGCGCTTTCCCGAGGAACATGATGTCGTCCCCCTTTTTGCAAAGGAATTCCAGCAGATGGACGAATTGTGTGGGGTTCCGCTCCATACCCTTGTACACCACGCGGTCACGCCCATGTATCACGACGGGCCATTCACAAGCGTCGAACGACATGTCGGATATCTCAGTGGGAGTCACTTTCTGAAGTGCACCCACCGCGGCAGCATCACCCGCCGCCAACCTGGCGTCGTAGACAACAGATTTGTTCTCCCGCAAGTCGTCTCCTTTGAAAAGGATGTACATGCGGTCGTCCAAGGAGTACAAGTTGTGGCCGAAACTTTTCTTCTGCTGCGTCCTCCTCACCCACTTCCCGGCCATTGCCTATATGACGGACAGATGGTGTAGGCTGGTCATGAAGTAGTAGTCGTGCTCACGAGGGTCAACGCAACTACTGTCCAGTGCGAGGGGAAGAAGTGCTCCAGGAGGGCATTCAAACTCTCGAAGACTTTAGTTGTCCACTGTTTGATGTCCACCAGTTCGCACAAGTCGAGAACACACAAGTGGCATTTCGTGATTCCGACCGCCCTCTCCAACGGCACGACCTTCATCTGCGCATCCAGAGGGTCGACGCCGAACGGGGCAATAGTTGTGACGTCCTTGAAGTCATTCCATAGAATGTGCACCATCCCTTCGGCCAGCGCGACTTCCATGCTTTTCGACTTGCTGCCGGTCAACACGGAGAGGACCTTATTCTTCCAGTCGATGGGCAACTTCTTGTTTTGGACTAGCTTTTTTGTCCCCTTGATCGACTTGTCGTCCTCGCAACCCATGTAGGGCGGACAGTCCTTGAACAAGGAGGAGTCGCTGACAAGTTTCCTGCTCCCGTCCCACAACGCTGCATCCAGCCCCTGCCCTTCAAACTTTGCCAAAATCGCCTCTCGTTTTTTCAGGAAGGGGTACCTAGTGGTCCAGTCACTGTATGGCCGGTTCTCATGCTTGAACAAGTAGTAGTTCCACAACTGCGCCAATATGCGATCGCACTTCACCAGTTGCACTGCCTCTTGCATCCCCAGCTTCCCTTGCTTCGCCAACGCGAAGGACCCTGTCTGCACCCAGACCACCTCGCAGTTGCGAACCTTCTTCAATAATCGACATTTCTCATTGTCGGTAAGGGCCTCCATGCTCTTCCAGCAGTGTGGATCCGGCTCGGTGACCTGGACGAACCAGTCACCTGGCTCTTTTTCCTTCTTGCCTTTCTTTTGTGGCCCTTCGACGGGGACATTGCAGACGACCACCTTTCGCCCGTCCTTCTCGTTTTCGATGTGGCTCACACTTGGCTTGAGGCCCTGCAACTTCTTCTTCTTCGCGACCCACTTCTCTCCTTCCGGTGCCAGCAGTCTGCCCGTTTCCCATCTCTCGAAAAATTTCATCCTGATTTCTTATGCGCTTTTCCCTGCCATCGTGAGCGGCAAAAAGCATCGAAGGGCAGCGTTCTGTTTCTTGATTCCTTGCTCAGTCTTGTCATCGGCGAGAGACCACAAGTGATTGTACGGCGTCCTGTGGAGCGCCTCTGCACAAAATCTTCGCCATGCCTCCACCTGCGCCTGTTTCCCGCTGGGGTTACCCATAACAGCTTTCGGGTAACCGAATTCCTTCCAACACCACCGAATGTCTCTCATTGAGAGTTTAAGCTGTCTCGGAGGGGCCTTCAGGTCTTTCTTGTTGTCCTCGGCGCTGACCAGAAAGTACCCCTCAAAGTCCTCGTCCGAGAAGTACACCATTCGTGCAGGCCAGTGCTCGAAGTTGTACCTCACCGCCACCTCGGTGCCAAGCAGCGCCCTGGCCGCAGCCACGTTATGCTGGCCCGCCACAGCGTAGTAGTAGTATTGTCGTGCCAGCTCGTTCTCTCAGTCTTCCGGCTTCAGATAATCCGCCCGCACCATGGGCGTCGGTTAAACCAGCCTGAGAGGCGCGAGCTTTAGTGTTGGCAGCTCGTAAGTCTTCTCGGTCTGAGAGTAGGCTGTCGTCGTTGCGTCAATAATGGCCTGTATTTGCACGGGATCCAAGGAACGCTGGTTGTATGCCGCCTCCCACTCGCCGATGTCGACGACTTGCGACGGGTTAATGGCGAACTCCCGCTTTGTTCGCACGCCGTTTTTCCATTCCAGGAAGTATGCCACGTCAATGTCGATGACACCTCTGGGATGGACAGGGGCCGACTGGGGTGGCTTCAGAGCCAAGGCCTGACGCTTTTGACTCGTCGCGCCGACATGCCCCTCAGCTCCCTTCCTTTTCCCTCCTCGCTATCATCAAAGCGACCGCGTTCCTCACCCTGCAAGGGTTGTACTGAACCACCGGAACCCATTTCCTCACCCTGTCGGGGCTGTACTGAACCACTGGAAAAGAACCCCGAGCACATTTGCACAAGAAGCGACAGTTCCAGGTCGCTCAAAATTTGGCAGGGATCGTCGAGGTTGAAGTCGCTCCTCTCAACCTCGTCAAAAAACTCCCTGTCCGAAACAAGACCTCCCTCCGCGACTTCAGTGTAGAAAGGGGTCCTCAAAGCCCCCCCACCAAACCCCTGGAACAGATCCCATGAGAGAATCGCCCCTTTCGCACCTGTGAGAACGTCGCCCTTCGAATTGTAAACGACATGCATCAGGTAGCACTGCTTGTCGTGGTTTTTTGATGGCTGCCATCCCTTGACCAAGCCGAGCACTCTTCGTCCTTTTCTATCTTCCACGAAGATGACAGGACGGCAAGGCGGTTTCATGGGCTCGTCATCTTCGGCGAAGCACCAATTGACGAACCACTTCGTGTGCGCATGATTCGACCACGATTTTGCGTTCGTCGACTCCCTCCCCGAGGTCCCCGTAGGCTGCTCCTCGCCTCTTGACGTAGACATTGTGTCTGCACCAGACGTAGCAGAGGATGTATTCGAAAACAAACGACACCGCCAACAATCAGCAAATGGGGAACTTCGGATACCGGCGGACGACAATCCAGGCAAATAGAAACGCAGAACACCGCAAAGGGAAAAGCAGGTGCGCTGGCGGCGAGCGAACAGCGTAAAGGGTAATGGTGGTTGTCGACAGTTAGCGCGCAAACGGGCAGCTTTAGAACTCTTTATAGCAAATGTTAGAAGTTTGGATTCCGGCAAACTTCGTCCATCGGAGGTGAAGATTGCCCACGTTTCTCATAAACGGACATGTGGTTATTATAGAAGATCACTCTACCATCGGACAAAATGTATCATGAGTGATGTCCGGATTCCAGCGGACTTAAACAAATGTTGATGGGCCATTGTGACAGGGGCCGACCTTGAAGTTCCGAGGGAGACGGTGCACGAAGTTCCGACAGAGAAAGACGTGTTCGGGTAGTTCGGATGTCGGCGAACTTCCGACAGGCTGGTTGAGAAGGCGAAGTCCACCCACATCCGAGCGCGGAGGAAACGAGTCGTCTGGGCAAGGGCGGACACGGGCCGTTGTCGCATGAGGCCGCGAGAAAAAATGACAGAGCAATATGAATCCGCACTTGTGCGGTCACCGAAACTTGAGATGCAACGGAGGTCCACACGCACGTACGAGGTCTGGTGAAGGTGGGGGTCTGACGAAGGGGCGTAAGGAAACACACAGTCGGTTCGAAGGCATTGTGGAAAAGCGAAGTTCGCTGGGATCCGAACATAGGGCGGGTGCTGGAGAGAGACGCGATGTGCGTGACGAAGGCTCTGCACTTTCGTGTTCAGTGCAATCAGCTGCGAGTCAGGAAAGCCACGACGTCGGAGGACAGATAGAAGCGTGTGGAGATGGATAGCGTCTCTCTCCAGGATGAATTATTGTAATGGATTAATTTTCTTTGTATTTACCAGGATGAATTAAAAGTCCCGTGGGTTCATCTCGTCGGCATGTGGTTTTCGACCGCAAGTAAGGACAGACTTATAGTTCTACAAATACAATTAGAGGAGAACAATTTTGAAGGCTTACAATAAGTTCATTTTACATTTTGTTAAGGTTGTCTTTGCCGAGCCCGACTTTTCAGGGAAAATAACAATCCTCTTAACGTCCTATAAGTTTGTTTCCAAAAAATACCAAGATCTTTTTTAGTTAAAGTTACGATTTATTGTTCTATCAATGTCTTTTCCCTGAAACTTGTTTTCCTGAAAATCTGATACTGAAGCCCTGAAGTGTTAAAAATGCATACTCAAAACATTGTGTAAGCAACTGCTTTAAAGAATGACTATATAGCCCTTTGAAGTTAGGGTAGAAGAGTCTGGGTTTTCTCGACTTTTGTTGGGATGTTAAATAATAAATGTGTTTTCGAAAATTCGCAAGAACGTCTTTAGTTGACTTAAAATTTATAGTTCTATAAATTTTTCTTCGCTGGACTTCACCTTTTGACAAACTTATACCGAAGCCCTAAACTTCTAAAGTACTAAAAATGTACACTCACTGAAAATGCTAAAATCAACTAGTTTTGAAGAGGAATTCGTAATCCTACAAAGTTACAAAACAAGGGTGTATTTGGCAAAAAGGAATGGTGATGCTGATGATCTCTGGAAAGGAGAGAGTCTGTAGAAGGGAGGGGCGCTACTAAAATGAAGGGGGGAGGGCTGAAGTTTTAAGGGGCTAAATTAGTTGTTAAGGAGTCTAGATGAGGTTTAGGGTTTAGGGTTTAAGGACGAAATTAATGAACAAAGACCCAAGTTAGGTGAGGTAAGGGTTGAGCTAAGGCAAATTTTACAGGGGATAGAGGCTAGTTAGAAAATAGGGGGTTTGGAGTATGCTGAGGGGTGGGAGATGTCTGAAGTGCCTAGATCCTTTCTTGGTATTCAGATCCTATATTGCAGGTTTATGCCAAAGACCTGAGA